GCCGCCGGCCTCTTAAAGGAGCCCGCTGCTGCCATCCAGCGCTCCAGGCTCGTGCCTGGCCCGTCTGCGTCCCGCGCCTCCCAGCTGGTCGCGTCCTGGGCCGGCCCTGGCCTGGGCCTTATGCTGATGCTGCAGAAGCCCCCACGACCCCCCGTAAATTCCCTCCTACTCCCTGAGATGAGAGCCCATCTTTGGAGCATGCTTTGGCTCACCTTCCCGGGACTGTCCCCACTGCACTTCCACCCAAGCCTCACCCTTCCTCGCCACGATCACGCCAAGATTCCTTCCAACCTCCAACCCCTGCTCGGACTCCCCTGACATTTTTCGTGACTTCTGTCTCTAAGGTCACAAGGTCTCTATCTCAGCCCAGGGCTTACAAGACTTTGGGGAGGTAGGCGGTGAGGAATGGAGCTCTGAGGAAAGGAAAGACAGGTTCTGTTCTGCCCGCAGATTAGTCGATTGGCTATAAGAGTCAATCTCTTCTCTTGCTTTGCTTCTCCTGAGAAGCCTGCGCCCCTCGACAGAGGGATCAATTGCCTTACTTTCTCCCCATAGTCTCATGCTCCGGCTCCTGAAGGGATCCCCCATCCCCGTGCCCCCCCGTCCGGCGGGGTGGGTAGGATTTCTTAGTTACAGAGAGGCTCACCAGGGTGGCTGGCTCCACATAAGCTTTGGAAGTGGGCAGGACAAGCTCTAGGAAAAGGAGCAGGTTTAACGAGACAGAGGTCCGAGAGCCAGGGGTGTGAGCCAAGGGGTGAGGGATAAAGCTCAGAGAGGAACTTGAGGGTACAACTGTCCGGGCGCCCTGCGGGACAGAGCACAGCCCCCTCCCGCGTCCGACCCCACTTTCCCAGACCGCAAAGAGCCCAAACCCGGCAGCCCAATCACAGCCTCTCCCCAAGAAAAAGGCGGAGCCAAAGGGGGGAGCGACTCTACCCTTGTTCCCGCCTCCCTACACAATGCAACCAATCACAATCTGTTAGAGGAAGGCAACGAAACCGAGAATAACCAATCACACCGCACAGTTTCTCGTGCGTGCTAGACCCAGCCCCTTCAGTTGCGACAAAGATGGCGCGCATGCTCCTGGGTTCTGTAGTTCTCTCTTTATCCAAAGGCTCCATTTTAGAGTTAGCCCTTCCCGCCCCGCCCTTAGCTGCTTCCACTACGCTAGTGCGCATGTCCGTCAACAGCTTCCCTGTACTGGGGCAAGGGAGAGGCGGGACGATATTAAAAATCAATCAACCGCCCTTAGCTCAGGTAGCTACAGAGGAGAGCCGCTCTCCCTACAGGCGATGCAGGAGCTTGCCAGGGTGATGCACGCGGAGGGCTGTGGGGCGTCTAGCTCCCCTTTGGATGGGGAGGCATGAGGTAGGGTGGGCGGGGGACTCCATATCCCAGCATGCCCCGCGCCGGGCCCTACCGGCCGCGACTCCGGGCTCGGCCCCGGCCCTAGCTCATCTGCGGTGTGCCGGGGCGCGTGGAGGCAGCAGTCACGGTGGCGCCCGCGGGGACGGAGGAGGGAATGAGTGAAGAGGAGCAGGGCTCCGGCACTACCACGGGCTGCGGGCTGCCCAGGTGAGTCGACTTGTAAGGAGCTCTGCAGGGTGAAAATGGGGCGCGGGGCGGAGAGGGTAGCGGCACGACCCCAGCATGCACTTGGCTTGATGGTTGTTCCCGGCAAGCACTGGGGCAGTGGGTAGCGATTCCCGGCGTGCACCGACGTTCCCACTGGCTCCCGCGCTCAATAGTTTAGAATTGCCCTGGTTGTGTCCCCAGCCCTCAGTGCGTTTGGTGGGGACTGGGTTCCTGTGACAGGGGACATGCACGTCTAACCTACAGCAGGGTACAGGATCCCAACCTTAACTAAGATAGGGACTGTGCGTTCCCCCTCGTGCCCTTGGGCACTGGACCCCGCTTTCCCAGCCTGCACCTCTATTCCACATTGAACCCAGCCAGTGGCTACTGTATCACCAGGGTCCCCCGGACCCTGTGTTCCACAATGCGCTTGGGGCTGGTATGGCAGTGCTTGGCCAGGTGGGTGAAGGGAGGGAGGGAGGGAAGGTGTGATGTGGGTCTGTGCCCCTCCCCCAGTATAGAGCAAATGCTGGCCGCCAACCCGGGCAAGACCCCGATCAGCCTTCTGCAGGAGTATGGGACCAGAATAGGGAAGACGCCCGTGTACGACCTTCTCAAAGCCGAGGGCCAAGCCCACCAGCCTAATTTCACCTTCCGGGTCACCGTTGGCAACACCAGCTGCACTGGTGAGGAAGGCTTGGGCCTCCTGGCTGGGGTGTGCATTCTCAGGGCCCCATGGCTTTCCTTCTTGGGGTTTATTCCCAGCCCACTTCTCCAAGGCCGGTGAGGGAAGGAGGCATTTCAGGGGGAATCCACTGACTGGCGTGGGAGAGCTGGGCTGTGAGGAGGTGAGACAGAACTCGGGGAAAGCTGGAGGAGAGAGAGCTCAAGACTGCCCCGGGAGCATCCTTGAGGGGAAGGGAGGCGATGCTCTCACTCAGGACTTGGGGGGAGGCATGCACGGTGCCAGGCAGTGCCCCGGTGTGGGACCAGTGACCAAATGCCCCTTTAGTCTCTCTGTAGCCCCAAGGTAGGTGGTAGTACCTGTGGGGAGCAGGAGGCTCAGAAAAACCAAGAACCACACTCACTGCCCTCCAGTGGTTCCTGACTCACAGCGACCTCACAGGACAGGGTAGAGCTGCCCTTGTGGGTTTCCAGGACTGTAACCTTTCACGGGCGTGGCCTTGACTCCACAGTCTGCCTCCTGTTTTCCAGCCCTCTGTATGTACTGAGGGAGCACAATGTAGAGAAAGACTGCCCCCCAAGGTGCTTGAGCTCAGGAGTTCTGCCTGGCCTAGCTTGCCTCCGGCCTGGGAGCTAGTAGGTGGATAAGAGCCCTTCTTCCTTTCAGTGATTAGTGGACACGGCTAGACGTAGGCAGGGGGCTGGCTGGCTCTCTGGCTCTGAGGAGAGGGGCTGGGGTGTTGGCTTCTCTACTGCCCTTTCAGTGACCTCCAGGATTGTCCCACCCCCTCTCTCAGGCCAGGGCCCCAGCAAGAAGGCAGCCAAGCACAAGGCAGCTGAGGCAGCCCTCAAACACCTCAAAGGGGGGAGCATGCTGGAGCCGGTCCTGGAGGACAGCAGGTGAGGGAGGGACAGCTGAGGCCGCCCGCCTAGAGGCCCTGCCAGGGTCCCCGGCCCCCTCTCCTGCCCGGCCTCTACCCAAGTTTCTGCTGGACCTGCTCAGGGTGCTTCCAGAGCTGCTGCTGCTGCTGCCTGGCAGCCAGTCCCAGTGGGGACTGTGGCTGTGGTTTGGGTCTGGGCTAGGGGGGTAGAGGGCTGCAGGCTTAGATGCTCCCCACCATTCTTCCACACTTGGCCTGCGTCTTCCCATGCTGCTCGGTGTGGTGGGAGGATACCCCGTCCCCCTTTCTCCATCTCTCTGGGTCAGTCTTCTAACCCCAAACGATCCCAAAGGCAGACGAGTCTTTGGCTCAGGTGGGGAAAGGGTCTCTTCCTGGACGGGCAGGTCAGGAGGACCTGGGCTTCCCACGCTCCATCCTGTCCACACACGAGTGCGAATCAGAGGCGCCCTTCCCCTCGGGAAGTTCTTTTTCTCCCCTAGACTCTTTGCTGCCTGAAGACAGTCCGGTCTGTACTGCTGCAGTGGCTGCTGTCCCGGTTCTGCCTGCTGTCCCAACCAGGTACACACCTTGTGTCCTCTGACTGCTGAGGTGCGGGAGGAAGGGGTCCTGACTCTGGGGGCGCCGAAGGAGGGAGTCTGGGAGGAGACAGAGAACGGACTAGTTGGGGGCCAGAGCTTGAAGAATTTTCCCCCGCTGGTAAGCTCTGGATAGGAAGGTCACAAGAGGCTGTAACAGCTTGTAAGGGTGATGTGGAACCATGCTTGGGGTCTTGCAGGCCCCTCGTTCTACTGGGCTGGCCAAATGCTGCTTCCACACCCCAGTCCTAGCAGTTGTTTCCCGGGCTCCATAGACAGCCCCTCCCCCGGATGTGGTGAACTGGTGCCCATGTGGGGAGAATGGAAATGCAGAGGGGAATGGGAAGGGATGCAGGCCAGGGCAGGGGTGGGGCAGGCGGGCCCTGGGTAGGCGACTGCCTGCCTACTGGGCGATGCAGGGATGAGGACTCACTCCAGGGTAGCCATCTTCCTCAGCTGTGGCCCTGGGCCTTGTCGTGCAGGAGCCCCCCCATGGAGGTGCAGCCCCCTGTCTCCCCTCAGCAGTCCGAGTGCAACCCTGTTGGTGCTCTGCAGGTGCGCCCAGTCCTTTGAACCAGAGGCCACGCGGGAAGCTTGTTTGTAGGCTGGGAGGCGCGGAGGGGAGCCCCTGCCCCCTCTAGCCCTCCTCTAACCCACAGCTTGAGGCCTCCGGGCAGGAGGGCAGGGGAGTGCGCATCAGAGTGGGTCCGAAGGGAAGGAACTTTCCCTACTCAGCTTTGTGCCCTTTCCCCACCCGCCCCCGAAGGAGCTGGTGGTGCAGAAAGGCTGGCGGCTGCCTGAGTACACCGTGACCCAGGAGTCCGGGCCAGCCCACCGCAAAGAGTTTACCATGACCTGCCGGGTGGAGCGTTTCATTGAAATTGGTAACTGGGCGCGAAGTGGGCGGCCTCAGCTCACCTTGCCGGGCGCGCGGCTCCTTCCCCTGGCTGCATCTTCCCTTTCCCTCCCCAGCTCTGATCAGCTAGTGCATGAGCAGGTCCGGAACTCCTCTTTCCACTTGACACCCTCTTGAGGGGACCCTCCAGGTGTGCCCTGGGCCTCCCTCCGGGCAGAGTAATCTGGTACCCTTTTCCTACATGCAGGCAGCGGCACTTCCAAAAAACTGGCAAAACGTAACGCAGCAGCCAAAATGCTGCTGCGGGTGCACACGGTGCCTCTGGATGCCCGGGATGGGAATGAGGCGGAGCCTGAGGACGACCACTTCTCCATTGTGAGTGGCAGGTCGGATGGGGGGGCGGGGCTTGGGCCTGGGAGCCTCTCCCGCCAGCCCAGAGCCTGCACCTGCCTCGTTTCCGACCACCCAGTGAGTGCTGTCAGGGAGATGGGCCCCGGGGGCTGTGGGCTCTTCTTGCCCAGAGATGGCCGAAGGGCTTGGAGTTAGTGGGGGCCATACAGTGACTGAGGGGGTGCAAGCACTGGGCCTTTCCGCTGCAGGATGGTGGCGATGGCACAGCCCCTGGCCGCACTGAGCTCACTGTCCCCATCTTGTCAGGGCGCAGGCTCCCGCCTGGATGGACTGCGGACCCGGGGCCCAGGCTGCACCTGGGATTCGCTGCGGAATTCCGTGGGGGAGAAGCTCCTGTCCCTGCGCAGCTGCTCCCCGAGTGCCCTGGGTGCCCTGGGCCCTGCCTGCTGCCACGTCCTCACAGAGCTCTCCGAGGAGCAGGCCTTCCACGTCAGCTACCTGGATGTGGGTATGGCCGCTTGGGCTGGGCAGGGGGTAAGAGGGTGCCCGTGAGGGGGCAGCGCACACCGCCCTGGCGCAGCCTTCTTCCCCAGCACTGCCTCCTCTCTCCTGGCCCGCAGAGGAGTTAAGCCTGAGCGGGCTCTGCCAGTGCCTGGTAGAGCTGTCCACACAGCCGGCCACTGTGTGTCATGGCTCTGCCACCACCCGGGAGGCTGCCCGGGGCGAGGCCGCTCGCCGGGCCCTGCAGTATCTCAAGATCATGGCGGGCAGCAAGTGAAGCCCCAGCTGGACTCACAGGCGGATACCCTTTGCCCCACTCTGCACTTCCTGCCCTCTGGCCGGCCCATCTGTTCCCCACTCTGGCGCCCTCAGGAGGTGCCCTCTCTACCTCTGACACTGCCTGCCTGCCCTGAGGCTGAGGAGGGCACAGGGCAAGGAACCAGCGCCTGTCACAGGGCTGAGCCTGCCTGTGAACCATCCTCATTTCACTGGTGGTGATGACAACGTGGATAGGAAATTGGGGTGCTCCTTTGGAGCCCATAATAAACATGCTGCTGCCTTGATTCTTAATGCCCGCCTGGTCTATCTCCCTGAGTAGTACCACGGCCTGGGTTGTCCTTTTGCCCCGTGTTCTCTGTGCCCACCTCCCAGCACATCCCCACTTTCCCCTCTGCTGGGTGCAGAAGCCTCTGTGAACTGGCCTCCTGTATTCCTAGTCAGTGGTCTGGTGACAAGAGAGGCCTCCCTCCCAGCCCATTAGCGTCACAGACAGCTGGATCAGAAGCCAGGCTCTTTATTCGGGGGACACATGGCTCTTTTGGGTGTGGGTCTTGCATGCACACACATCAAGACGTGACATCTCACTTCTTCCCAAATCGCTGAGGGGCAGCCAGGCTCCAGAACGGGGAGCTCAGCCCCTCCCCAACCCGAGGACTCAGCCGCTCGGTGCTCCAGGACCCCCGGGTATTTCTGCCAAACCTTAGGAGAGAGGGATCCTGATTGAGGTACTCGGCCACTGCCCTTCTCTCGTCCAGTCCAGGGCCCCAGCCCTGCCCTTTCTACCCCCCAGCCAGCCCCAACTGCCCCTTTCAGACTCACCTCTGGGGCTGAAACAGGAAGGCCTGGCTCCGGCTGGGTCTCCTCATGGCCTGAAGCAGGGAGCGCAAGAGTGACCCACGGGCCTGGGTGTCCTGCAGTGGGTGTAGCCCACTATCTTCCTCCTGTGGCAAGGGGGCATCCAGGAATGTCTGTGGTCAGGTGCCCTGAGCATCTAGGTCTTAAGGCAGTGGCTTCCAGGGACAGGTTGTAGGGGACCAAGGAGCCATCTTCTCAGATGGGAGGCCCCAGGGAAGGTACTGGTGGCCAGAGAGAGGTTTGAACCTGCTGCGCAAGTCTCAAACGGGGGCAGAAGAGTGGGTGAGGGGTGCGGAGTGGAGGGGCTCGCTCACCACGAAGATCTGGCCTCCGTTGCTGTCCCCGGGCTCGTCTGTGTGGGCCCAGTCGGCCGTGAGCAGTAGGACCAGCAGCAGCAGGGAGGCCCGCCTGGAATCCATGCTGCCTTCGTCTGTCCGCCGCCTCCCTGCAGCCACACCCGCTCTTATACCTGCCGTCCTGTCCCCCGCCCACAGCTGCCGGCAATGGAAATGCAGGGCTCCATTACGAGCCGCCTGGGACCCCCTCCCATGGCCCTCCTGGGACTCTGCTCTCCGCCTCCGGCCCCCCAGCCCCTAAGCCCGGAGTTCTAGAGTTTATTACATGCATAAATCCTGTCTCCAGAGCTCAAAAGGAATCATTAATTGCAGGTGCTTTGTCAGAGTCAAGCCCTGGAGGAGCCTTACAAGAACCCCCAATCCCTCAACAGGTTGGAGAGCTCCACTTGATCACCTCCCTTCTTGTAACTTCTGTCATAAAGGCACAGAGAAAGCCCTGTCAGGAGGGCTGCGACTCGTCCTGGAACAGACAGGGAACTGCCAGGGCCAGCCCTGGGAGAAGGAGAGGTATGTTGGCCAGGAGACCTGGCCGGCCCCTCCCCAGGTGGCTTCAAATCTCTACAGACAGACCCTCAGCTTCACTGCCAGTGCGGCTCAGGACCTGCGTCATCTCCTTCTGTAACTGAAGCACTGCTGCCACCCTGTGGTCTCAGCCTCTTACTGCCGAGCCCAGGAGCCCAGCCATCTCCTTTTTCCTAGAAGAAACCCTAACCAAACCCATTGTCAAAAGTCGGCTGCAACTCACAGGGACTGTATAAGGCACAGTCGAACGGCCTCACGAGGTTTCACTATGGGAGCAAACTGCCATGTATGGGTCCCAACCACGGTGCCACCAGGTAGTTTTTTCCGGGACAGAGCTCTTTACAGGAGGAACGAGAAGGGTAGGATGGGGTCAAGGAGTCTGAGCATCGTTCAAGGGCAGGGGTGAGTTCCTCAGCACTTCCACCAATGCCGTCCTCCAGCCCAAGCTGGCGTCTGAGGCACCCTGACCTCGGGCAACCAAAGTAACGGCTCCAAAGGGAAAACCAGGAACATGAAAAAGCTACTGGGGGTTGTGGTGAGTGAGGAGGATACTAGCTGCGCTTGTTCTCACACCCGCAGTCACACTCTGGGAACTTCTTTCTCTGTCAAACTGGAGGTCGACATTTGTCCCATTGCATCTCACTGACAAAGCTCCTCTAATCTCTCACGCCTTCTAAGGCTCTCCATGTGTGGAGACAATTCATCTTCCTACACTAGTCCTTTCTGCTCAGAAGGAAGCCCCGTGGACCCCTTGGAGCATGGCGCCCAGAAACCAATCCACACTCCGAGGCGTAGCAGGAAGTCAGGTTTCATTCTGTTCTGGGTGTGATGGTCTAGATACTATCGATTAATGAAGCCTAAACTAAAGCGAGCCTTTTTATAAGCTTATCACATATTAGTCTCAAGCACAGACTCCTGACAGTTGTCATTACATGCTTATGTTACATCTTGTGGTTGACTGCCTTAGTGAATAAGTTTATTTTCACATAGTTTAGGAGGCCAACGTGGGGACAAGTTCCCTCCTGTTCATGCGGCATCTATCTCCCCTCAAGCTGGCTGCTCTCCCACAGGAACACCCAGTCCACAGACAAGTGGCTCCTGCACCTCCTGTCGCCTGCCCGTTCTCAGCCACCGTGGTCCAGAGGAGCAGGACTGAGGATGGGGAGGCTCTGGAATAGAGTGGCTCTCGGGTCAGACAGAACTCAGTTTTGATCTTCGCTCTTAAACTCCCTTATGTGTTTAGGCAACTGTCCCGAGCGAAACCTAGTTCATCAATCAAATGAGCTAACTCCTGCTGGTAAGAGGTGGCTGTGAACAGACAAATGACATTCACAGAGGGGGTATTCAACCCAGGCTGCATTTAGAAAGGGACTAATCTACTCCCACCCTATGACCAGCATGGAGACGAAGTAGCCTTTCCTTTGATCAGAGATCAGTTCATTGTGATAACTTCGCTTTCAGCCACTTCCTGTCTCACCCCTTTCTGCGTCCCTATGCTCACAGCACAATGAAGACCCCCACTGCATTTCCCACTCGCCTAAGGAGGCCCAGGCTTCCTGTCCCTGTCAACTGTCTACCAGAGGCCGGCAGCAAAGAGCTTTTGATATAATTTCTCTCCTATTGGGAAACCCTCACAAGCATCTGCTAGATCTTTTGTCAAAAGCTTGGGCCTGGCTTATGATCCTCACTGTGACCACTGTACAGGTACACGCAGATGCATGAAATGTCCTGAATCCCCAAACTCCCTGAGCATTACCTGTTTGTCCCCGTAAACTCTCCCAAAGGCTTCTACACAAATGTCACCCCGTGTTTCCAGAACAACCTTTTCCTCAGGCCCCGTGAACTTTGAGTTTTACCATCTGCTTGTGTGTTCTCTCCAGTTCCCGCCCCGCCCAGCTCCCAGCCAAGCGGGAAGCTTCTTGAGGCGGGCGTGTCTGGTTGTTCAGAGGAGCGCAGGAACGAGACCGTGGAAAAGAAAGAGAGGAGGCCGCGCCGACACTCGTTCTCGGATGTGTGCTCCCACAACCAGCGCTGGCGCTCATCTGAGCTCCGGCTCCGACTCTGGTCCGACAGGCAGTGACTGACCCACCTTCCTAGGTTGGACTGCATCAAGAATGCCCTTCCCTGCTGCCTTCAGAAGAGGGAGAGGGAGGAGACCCTCATGAGCTCCAGGAATGGGAGTGGGCAATAGGACTTGTCGTGGATCGGGGTACTGAAACATCAGACATAACCGTGGTTCTCTCGATAGTTTAATGTTATATTTGCAGCATAAATAAGGCACAATATATGTCAGGGGGAGGGAGGAAGGGAGGGGTTAGGCTTGGCGGGGGGATAACTGCTAAGTGGCAAGGGAGGAGGAAGACAGGACGGTGGGGGGAAGAGAGCAAAGCCCCTGCCTCAGCCCCGTCCCAGCAGATCGTGAGAGCCTGCTCACAGGGGTCATGCGGACTTGGGTCAAGGGAAAGGGAGAGACAGTTTGTAACAAAATAGCCTGTAGCACTGCACCCTCCCACCCGTCAAAGGCCACCATTGGGGATTGGGGTGACCCATACCCAGAGTCGAGTTCCTTGATGAGATGGAGAGGGACTGCTACATGTCAAGAATATATAGATGAACAGATATAATCATCGATACACACGGCTTTCTTCTAAACAGATGCTGTGTCAGGATGCTGCAGCCTCCACTGTTGGGTGGGAGACTCATCTCCTCTCTACTTGGAAGAGGGGCGGTGTGTGCATGTGCGTGTGTGCGCATGTGTGTGCATGTGTGAGTGTGTGTGTGCAGCACGACAGCTAAAGCTCCAGCTGGTCCTTACTGTTAACGAAGAACATGGAGTGACCAACCTGCAAGGGAATACTGGACCTCTGTCCAGATGACCCCTAGGGGCAGGTTCCAAGGAGAAGATGGGAGCAGAGACAAAGCTAGATTTTGAGATGCATGATAGGCTTGTTCGGTTTTCATGGAGCGAAGGGAGGGGCTGGAGGAAATGCAACAGTGTGGCAGTGCTAAGCAGAGTACGCATATAAAGACATCCTTGACACCCTGTAAGAATTCCCAGCACGGCTCTAAGGCAATGGTTCTCAAGCTCTAGTGTGGTACAACCACTTGGAGTGTTTGTTCAAACCCCCTCAAGAGTTCCTGATTCAGAAGGCTGGGGTGGGCCTGATCGTGTACATTTCTAACAGGTTCCCAGATGCTGCTGCTGCAGTGGGTCCAGGACCACATCCGGAGGAATCCTTCCCTAAGGTAAAGCCAGCGAGACTGGTTCTCAGCCAGTTCTTACAGCTGAAACATCACTCAGGGTCACACTGATGAGATCTCCCTGTGCTACCAGCCCGCCCCTGCCCCCCAACCGAAAAACTAACCCTAGAAGCTACGGTACAAACCTGTTCCTATTAAGGACGTGAGCTGCCATAACCTATCCTGTGGTGACCTTTTCTCATTCTAGGGTAGGACTTTACCCCAAAGAGAGATGAATGAACTAGCACTGAGGGTGGGAGGGTAGGCAAGCAGCGGCATATGGCCACTCCTGGGCAGGGGATGGGGGTGGGGACTAGTCATCACACTGGGGGGAGGGGTGGGTCTGTATGCACAGCACATGCCAACAGAAATCGCTTTCTGTTCTGTACTGAGAGAGGACTGATGGGGTTGTGGAAAGCTGTAGCGAGGTGCGAGTCCTCTAACCTGCTTAGCATCCTTGCCTGCCAGGTTTCCCTCTGCCCCCCCAATCAAAAGTCTTAAAAGGCCCAAAGAGCATATAAAAAAAGACACATGAGAAAGCTGGGGGGACTGGAATAAAAACAGGCTGGTTATGAAATTAAATAAGAAAAAAAATCACATGCCTTTCCTGTGCATGCAATGTACAGTATTAATGGGAAATGATGACTGGGGATGGGAAGGAAGTAGGAAACAGGGGGGACTTTTTCTGGGGAGAGCTGTCTCAGGGGCTAGCACCTTTGAGAAGCCTCTCGGTGGAGCAGGGGAGCCTCAGAAAGCAGAGAAAGTCTTATTTTGTGTCTGCTTGGTAGATTCAGGTTATAGATGGGGCATGGTGATAGTTAAGCACCTCGCTTACGAAGCTCTGTGGTGCTGGGTCAGTGGATCCAGAAGGGGTAGGGAAGGCATCAAGGTGAAGTTCAGTTAGCCCAGTTCCTCCTTTACCATCAGCTAGTGCACCTATGGTCCAGTGGTCAGGCCAAGGGGAGGGCTGAAGACTGGAAGCAGCCAGGCTTGCAGAGAACAATCAACAGGGACAGATTGAGGGGGACTATTCTTTCTAGTCCTCCCTGCAAAGACAAGTCTTTCTCAGAAGTTTCGCTCTCAGCACGCAGCTTTGAAGAGAGCAGGGCAGGGATTCCAGCAGATCAGAAGAACTGGTTCTCCCCCCCCC